TCAGTGTAAATTTTTGATTTTTCTATGTTCTATTGTAAATAAAGTATGGGTTTATGAGACATGTAAATCATTGCTTTATACATTTAATATATACATTTTAACAGTCTCCTATTATATATTAGGAATTGGATTGTTTTAATTAACCCTTATTTTACAAAGAAGCCACTTAAGATTAAAGTTTTTGTTTAAGGGAGCCCTGATGAAGCTGTTGTAGTAGTCACGTAGGTACGTGCCACTAGTTGTAGTATGACAATATAGGGAAATATATATGCATACTTTTCGCGAGTTCCTCATCTTTCTGACTGTGTAATGTCGTGCCTTGAATTTAACAGAAATGTAACGCGAGACGTTATTTATCTTTGACCCATCAAAATGAATGCGGTCATTTATTTTCAGAATCAAAGTTTAACATCAAACATTTACATTAATTTGGCAAAATATGAAAATAATAACAGACAAGTTTCACATAAAAGGGACATCGATCACTCGGCGGTGATCAAGGACTTTGCTTCAGATATTCCTAAGATATCTGTACTGATTTTATGAGAAAGAGGAGAGTTTTAAGATGAAATGGAGTTATCTTACAGAGAAATATGTGAGGGAATTAATCTGTTTGACCAGAAATTGCACGCTCCATCAGATCTCAGCTTGCCCACGGTACACTTGGTCGAAAATAGAACCATCTACCTTGATGATGAAATCAGCGTCGGCGTAGGTTCCTTTCTGACTCTTTTCAGCGTCTCCGTGAGAACTACCAAACCCTCAGAGAGTCGTACGTGGTTTTCAAACAGAAATTATAATCCCAAAACGTCTCTGGATCATCCTGAATGCGTTTGCACCCAAGAACTCTGAACTCCTTTCATTCTTCAGAACTTCTCAGACTCTTAATTGTCTTTCAACTCCAGCAACTCTCTAGTTCTTCATCTCCTCAGCCTCTGGAATTCTCCTGAATTCTCCCGAATTCTCCCGAATTCTAACATGAACTGGGAAGTTGCCACATTTTAAATGGGTCGACTTCCGGTTCATTTGAGAGCTTTTGATTGGTCGATGGACCAGGAATAGAGGTGTGGTGTATGATGTAAGATGTTATTAAAAATCAAGGATTGTTTAGTAACGAACAGAAAGATTATTGTAGGACTTCAGACTCCGTGGAGTCTCACACTTATAATCTTCTGAAAAAGTTTAAACATGACATCTTTCTCGGTAAACATTTTAGTTGACCGAAAACCGACCTTTAACACACTTACATTGCTTGGCTCATTTCAGACAGAAAATCAAGAAATGCATATTAACCTGATTTCTTCTTTAAATGAGGAATAAAAATCATTACTTACTGTTTATGTAAAAATAAAAATTAGTAGTTCTCTTCAACCTGTAACTTTGAGTGAACTAACACAATTTTGATTATCAAACATTTGTAAAACAGTGATGATCATAAAAATTGTCTTTTCTGCTTGATTAATTCAAGAAAGAAAGTCACCAGATGGCTCAGACTGTATTCAGATCAATGAAATAACAGTCCCTGTCCATCTGATAGATTTGAGGTCATCAGGGTCAGATCAGGGTCAGATCAGGTTCACTACACTGGCGAGACGCATCTCTTATGACATCTCTATGAATATATCAATATTGTGATTCTTATCTGTTCTGTGACATTTCTGTATTTCTAACACAACCAGAGTTTCCACACATTTTCCATTTAATAATTCCTCCTTAAGACATGTTTTCAGTCACTGCTGATTTTTAGGCCACTTTTTTAAATGCATGTGCAGTACAAAGTGTAATCAAACTAATGGACAGCAGGGAAGTCCATGTTCAGTGTTTGTGATCACAGTTCGAGCCTTATTCACTACAACGCTTTGATTCTGTAAAACTTTAGAAAAAAAACTGAATTTGCTTCAGGTCAGGACTTGAACAGTCTGTGCAGCGCTCAGGATGACAAATGGTCTGAATTTATGACTTTTTTAAATTTACATGGGTTTATAAAATGTTTTCCAATATTGATAAAAACTATAACTATCCATAATTTATAAATTATTAATGAGAAAAGCATCCTGCTGCTGTCTAAGTCATTTATCTTTAGAAATTTCACATTTCAGATACTTGTAAATAATTTAGTTCACTTTTTCCCCATACTTTTCAAAAGCTCATGAGACAGTAGTTGTGTGTATATTGTGAAGTAAATATGACAATAGACAATAAGTCTGTCAGAACATAAATAACCCGATACAGATCAAAATCGCAATGTAGATAAAAATATGTTACTTTTAGTCAGTCATTTTTAAATATTCAGACTAAAGAGGTGAAAGAGAGATGACTAATTACTGGTGAACTTCAAGTGCCTGTGCTTAAAATTTCTGTCCCTAATTACAAAAAACATATTGTAACATGTCTGTGTAGATTAAATCATAAAGTGAAAGAACCATTTGTGGCGTTTAATCTGGAGAATAAGCCCACATCTGCTCTAATCTGGAGCAGCTGTTGCCCCATCGGGAGAGGGAAGTCCTGGCAGCTCTGCAGCCCACCTCTCTGACCCCACGACAAGTATTCTTGTGTTTCTTTGTCGCTCCATCGTTTAAAAATGCACAAATATACGTCAGTCCAAGAAACGGACGAACTCTGATCCGATAGCTTTTTGAAGAGGGTGCACGTGGGCGCAAGGCGACACGTTCAGAAGGTGCTGCCCAACGAGTTCGGATGTATTTCTCTACAGACGGACTCAATGGAGCAGGAAAGTTTTGCCATGTGCAGCCCTGCACCGGGTCGAGAAGGTCCACTCAGATCCTGTTTGTCGTGTTTCGAACAGAACAAAAAGTTAAAACTGTGAAAAATGTACGAAACAACCGGTTGTATTAGAAGAAGCTGTTCCCACAAGATGACGACATGTTTGGTGATATTACTGACAAAAAAAAAAGCTTTAACCTAAACACATCATTTAGATATTTCTCTAACCTGGAACAAAAGTGGAGATTTCTTTCAAACACATTTACGCGAGGCTAGACTGTGCTACAGTTAGTCCAGAGGTCTGCAACCTTTTTGATCAACAGAGCCTGGAGTCAAAAAAAAACTGCAACTGAGATTATCAACTGATGGCCCATGGGCCACAAAGTTTGTTGGAGTGGATGTTTTCTGGACAGTGGGGGTGACGTAAAACTAAAATTATATCATGAGTTTAAACATTTATTGATATTTTTTTCATTTTAAGACAAACACCATATCATATAAAGAAGAAAAATAATTATAGTTTACAGTAGTCCCTCGCTACTTCACTATTCGTGTTTTGCAGACTCGCTCTATCGCGGTTTTTCAAAATAAGATTGGACATGACACACAATGGCTGATTGATGGATGAGCTGCACGATCAGCATGGGATGTTTATTTAAAATAAATTATTTAGCACCTGCTGCACAGGTCTGTGTGCAGCCCACAGCTGCAGGAGAAGCTTCCTCCTGCAGCGTGTCTGATCTTTGCTCTGCAGCAAAGAAGTGGGCGTGGCCAAGAACACTGGCAGAGCAACCAGAGGCAGAGAGAGCGGAGATCATGACACTCTGTGCTCTTTTAAAGTGTTCAGGGTACAGATCCCCCGTGATAAATGAGGGACTACTGTATACCAATTTTGATAAAAATCAAAACACTGAACTCTGCAGGTCTATGTGATAATAATAAATAAGTATCAGGCAGGGTTGCAGTCAGTGCAGCGGTCTTGCAATCCTGAGGTTGAGGGTTCGAGCCCAGGTTGAGCCAGGAAGGACATCCGGCATAAAACAAATAGCAAAATCTTTCATGTGAGTGGAGTCCCCCGAAAAAGGGAGCAGCCAAAATAAACTTACTTTCTACTTCAACAACTTCCTGCGGGATCAATAAAGTTCTAACTTGTAGTTATCGGGTAAAAATTAACAAAAATTTGACAATCTGCCAAAACTAGCATTTTCTGTTGTTGGTATAAAAATCAATGCAATTAAATTTCATGCAGTTTTGGTGAAAGCTTCAAAGAGTCGCCAATGAGGGACTAATGAGCCACATGTGGCCCCAGAGCCGCAGGTTGCAGACCCCTGAGTTAGTAAAGGTTCAAAGCAGCGTTCACGTTAAAGAGAGAGCATTATTAGTGTTAACACATTTTTATGATTTGATTTACAACGGTACAAACAAAAAGACGTGACACACAATTAAAGATAAAAGCAACAGGTTATGTTTAATCTTGGGTTTGATTTTTGCCACTTTCAACAGAAAGAGACAAGAAATTCACATTTAAACGACCCAGAAATGTTTTGCATTCGTTGCCATCCTAAATAAGTTCGGCAAAAAGTGCGCCGATATCGTTTGGTCTTCTGTAAAACTGCGAACATCAAGTATTAGAAGCCGTTTTGCAGCTGTGTGATAAGTTGGAGGTAAACCTGGTGAAATCAAACAATACACCAAGGATACATGCATCTGTATGAGAACACAGAGACAGAATAAAAAACACTCTTGAACACACAATAAATGCAGATTGTAAGATAGATGTGCTAACATGTAAAAAAAAAAAAAAGCCCCCAAACCAGCAATCCCATGTGCCTGAGGGATGCTCAAAGATAAAAAAGAACAATCTCAACTCTTCTTTTCCCCCGTATGGCACTGACCTACAACCCTAACCCCGCTACACCTCTCCCTGACACAGTAAACATCCATCAGAGGATAAAAAATAATGCAACTGCAGCAAAGCAAACAAGTGGGACGTCGGAGGAACTGTTCCTGTTTTCCTGCAGAAACTTGCCCTATCTAACGTTAGCAGACGTGGGTGGAAAGAGATCTTAATCAGAGGGAGAAAGCGAAGGTTTTCAGCCAGGCCCTGAGGTATCGTGGGGGGCAGGGAGCAGAAATTTTACATTAGCCACAAAAAGGACTCAAAAATATGAACTTAATGGCACTTATAACATTTGAAAATAGAAGCATTCCTACTGAAGCTACTTAAAGTTGCAGATGTGAACAGCCAGGATTCTCTTGTGCTTTTTTTTTCTTTCTTTAGAGCAGCTCTAAGTCATGGTGGAAAGAATAAACGACACACAGGGGAAACTATGTGTTTATCACCCTCTATCCTCTGAAGCAGGATGTGGGGGTGAATTCACAATAAAAAACACAATCTGTGATGCTTGACCTACGACAGGAAACTTGCCGTCACTTTTTCCATTTTTTTGTCATCTCTTACTTTCATCCATGACTTCCAGGCTGACAGGAGTCCTTGTGCAACTGGCATAAATACAATTGTCCAAAGTACAAAATCAGAATAAAATAATAAAAAAGAACCGGCTCTGAAGCAGGCCGGACTGTCCTCTGTAGTATTTGGGTTCTCATCCAAGCCGTTTGGTTAGTGTGGAACAAATCCCACCTTCCTTTTCAAGAGTCACTGACGAGCGGGGTCGAAAACGACAGCGTGTACGCGCTGCTTCACTTGGTTGATCGACTCCACAGAGTCGGCTCTCCGTGCTCAGCTGGTTGGGACTGTTCTGTATGCTGTTGACCTGGATATGGAGCGGGCCGCTCCACCTCACCTCCCCCGTCACCAGTTGGCTTTAATGGCTTTGACATCACTCACAAGGTTCTGAGCGAGGCAGATGCCAAATATCTGGAAAACAGCCACGCCACAAGTTTACTCGTGCTCCTGAGCAGCACTCGCCACCAGGGGGCAGCGACGACACAAAATCACATATGCCAGTTTACACACAGCAGTGGATAAATAACTAACCTGTAAAAGTGCAATACCAACGAAAACCCCCGCTACGATAATCAGGTTGTCTTGAAGCCACTTCTCAAACTGTCCCACGCAGCCTTTGGTGTAGATATATTTCTGCCGGTCCAGTTCCTTTTCACAAAAACAAAGATTGAAGACTTTATTTTACAGTGTAATCATCACAGAAGACATTTTATTTGATTGAAATAAACACATGAACTCTGACAAAACACAACGGATCACATTTTATCCACAGATTCCTGGTCTGAAGCTGCATGATGGCTGAATCACACTTAATGATTTCAGCGTGTTGTCAGGATATCTCGGAGCTTAACAAAGGAAGAGTTTACACATTCACTGACGACCCCAGTCTGGAGTGAGCAAACAGGCAGATTCTTTTTCCTGTCAGCGAACAGATGGTTGTTTGTGTCGCTCCGTTCAGCTGATGATGTACGTTCAGAGAAGGGGGGGGGGGGGGTGTAATTTACAGCTGAAATGGCACCTAAAAGAGAGTAAGAATAGGTGCCTCTACACAAAGCCTCCTTTGTTACTCTTCAAGTCAACCAGGCGAACTCTTTGTTCTTTTACAAAACCTGAAAGCTAGCTTTCGGCCAATGGAAAGTAAGGAGAACCTCCTGGCAGCCAATGAAAAGGCAGGAAACACCGTGTTATTCTGGCTGTGAACTTCCTCTGAAGCTATTTCAGCTCCCTGCCTTTGTTGCACCTCTGTCCTTCACACGTCTCCTGCGCTTCCTCTCTCCCACCCTGCACTTCCCCATCACAAGCAGCACAGGAACTCGCTGCACATCCCTGATAGTTTCACTGCTCAGGACAATTAGGACACGAGCACGGAGACGATCGTCTCATCCCAACTCGGCTGCAGGTGGTTTGTAGTACTGCAGCTTGCATAGCAACAGCAAACCTTTGACTGCAGTGCAGCGAGTTGCAACCACCACACCCACACGTGGTGGAGAAAAGAACGGACTGGCATAACCCACAGAGCAGCTGATTACAGAGCGGAGCTAGGCTGCTCTCTGAGCTAAAACTGGAGCCTAATTGTCCCTGTAAGAAGAACAATCTGTTATTAAAGCAAGCGGCTCGCAGGATAACTCCTTAACCCTTACATGCTGTGTCTGCTGTGGTGAATGTTGGATTGTTTATGGGGTTATGCTACTTTTTAGATAAAAACATGAATTAATCCTTATATTATCCTGCAACCTTTCAAAATAACCACACTTGAAATGTTCCTGAAAAGTTAGAACGAGACAAATATCTGCAGAATTCCTTTTCATTCGTCAATTTGATCCTTGCAGAAACATTTTCTGTTATTTTCACAAAGACAGGTCAAGTAGCTTCATTTTTTTACTTTCTACATTCTTTCAGGAAAACGATCCCCACACAGTACTGGTTCCATGATGTTCTGCCTCCTGGTTGCTCTAAACAGATGCTCTCTGAAGCATTTCCCTCGCCTTTCCAGCTGTGAGCGAACATCTTCAGCATGAAACCTGCTGCTGTGAAGTGCTCGTGTGAGAACAGGGAAGCAAGTCTGAACCGAACTCTTCACATATTTTCCTGAACACCTCCAGAGTACGTGTGTGCACACAGATTTAGGCAGCTTACACTGTTAAAGAGATTTGGAGGTCTCCAGGAGTAATTCCGCTCAACAGCCCAGTCGTTTTAACCAGGGGCGCATTTGTTGGAATAATCTGAAACACGATGGTTGTATTGTTTATAGATATGTTGAAATTCAGAAAAACAAATAAAACATGGGCTGAAACTCAGCCAGCGTTCCCGCTCATTTTCCTTTTTGCACTTCCAGACTTTTCTATAAACGAGTTTCAGAATGTTCTGTGAATTTTGTGCAATTTTTGACATTAAAATCTGCACATGCAGTCGTCCCTCGCTACTTGCGGTTGGACTTTTGCAGACTCGCTCTTTCGCGTTTTTTCAAAGCACACTACTGTTAGATTGTTCACAACAAAAAAAAAAAAGGTGCCACCATTTTGTAGTTTTCTCTCAACAAGCCTACACAAGCCTACACCAAAAAATTGCCAGTCTAAAGCACTACATTACCCAGAAGGCAACGGTGCACTATCCAGAAGGCAAAGTCGCTTTCTGCTGGGGAGAAAATTTTGATCCGATCCGAAAACATTCGGTCCTTACAGTATTCATAGAGACTTCGAAGTTCAGTGGATGCAGAGAGCAGATCAGAACCGGACCAATACTGGGTAGGTCTGCCGAACCGGAACCGAGCTGGACCGGTTTGTTGTTTCAACTCAGAAATCAATGTCATTTCTACTTTGCGGTTTTTCACTTATTGAGGGTGAGGTCTGGAACGTAACCCCCACGATAAACAAGGGTCTACTGTTGATGTTTATTAAAAAGTGGTTTTATAACATCTGTATTAAGAACAACACAAATTGTAAAAGAAGATGAGCAAAAGGAAACAATACAAAAAAAAAGTTTAAAGTTAGTTTATGATTCTAATCCTCCTCCACACAGTCTGTGTTGTAAAACTGTTCCCATTCATAGAAAAATGTGAAAATCTGTTTGTGCTTTAGGGCTGGGCTGCCCTGTGACAGAAAAGTTACACACTGTAGATGTAAATTTATTAGTCTGAAGCAGAGGTTCTCAAACTGGGGTCCCAGGACCCCCCAGAGGTTCAGGAGTTGTAACTTGGGGTTCTGCTAAATAAATTACAAGAAATTATTAGTTATGTCATATCACTTAAAAACGTACATCAATGCGTATGGAGAACAATGTGCCAGTAAAACAAGCATACTTAACCAAACAACAATAAAAGATTCTCACAGCATTTAGTGGGTAAAACGGCAGTACATTATTTTTAATCACTATCAGGTATTTGAGGGGGTCTCTGTAAATGTTCCTCTAAGGGACTAAGGGGCCCCCAGACCCAAAAAGTTTGAGAACCCTTGAGCTGAAGTTTTACAGCCATGCACAAGGCAATGTGATCTGTGGAAAGACAAGTCGGCACACGGCCCGTTTTACACCTGTAAACAAACTATTATACAGCAACCTATCACAATGACCCAGACAAGTAAAGACCGTGTATAATATTTGACCTTGATTTGTGACCTTCTATCTGACAATATGCGAGTATGAAGTATCCTTAAATTATATTGAGGGGATCAAAAGTTATGAGCTGAACAAGAGAACATTTATGGGCATGGGGAAAGAAGGCCCCGCCTCTCACGGTTATTCCAAGACGTGTCAACATTTGGAGGAGGCCAAACTACTGAAGTTGTCAACAAAAAGCAAACGATTGTTATTATTCACAGAAAAGCCACCTGTGAAAACTGTTAACGATGGTTTCTCAATCCAAATCCAAGACACCGATAGCTAAAGCCTTCGCCTCAAGTCGTGATAAGGTAGATGTAATTAAGTTCAGTCCATCCTGTTTTCTGGTTTTTAATTTAACCTGGAAAACACTTTAATTCAATTCTACACATTTCCATTCTTCTTGAGACTGCACATGAAACACTTGACAATAAAAACATCATGAAGAAAACTGATCTGTAGGATCAGGAAGATGCTTGCGTGCAAACACTGAGGATACTAACCCCTTGAAGCCGAACATCACGAACATCATAACCACACTGCGTGTTGATGACATCCTCCTGAAACAATAAAAACAACATCTTAAAATATTGGACTTATATTGTTAGACAACATATCGTAAGCTATAAGAACTAAATGCTTAAGATTCTTCTGAATGTAGCTAACATGGTTCCAGAAATGACTAAATGCTAAGATCTTGCTTTGTTTAAAATAAAAACTAGATAAATAAATTAAAAAGATGAGAAATATTGCAGCTGCTGACATGTGTTCATTTAGATGGAGTCATGATTTGTTAAGAGTGACTCACAGCAGGATCTTTCACGCAGCAGGAGAAGGGTACTCCACATTTCTCTCTGCTCGTATTCTTGTCAGTGCAGTTGAAGTAGATGTTCTGGTTCCAGTCGTCGGGCCCGTGAGCTCCGCAGCACGACCACTGAGACAGCAGCAACAACAGAGCCAGATTAAACCCCAACCAGAACACGGAGCGTTGAGCTGAGCCCTTTAGATCCCGGCTCAGGCTTACAGGGGAGGGTGGGACTACAGATCAGACTCAGCTGGTGACTCAGATTTAATCTCGTTTACAATACGTCATGATGTAGTCCAGCGTTTACACACAGGAGCCAATTATCTAAACGGTCCCGTTCATGTAATTGGATAATCATATGAAGGAAAGACAATCACGTTAATCATGAGATTTGCAGCTGTGAGCGCAGTGGATGACTTTACAGCTAAGAACCTGTCTGAGCCAGAAATGCATTAATATTTAACATCAACAATATATTTCTCAAGAAGAAAGTCGTTCCAACAGCCGAGAGATGTGTAATGCTTGAGGGAGGGGGATCAGTTTTCACAGTAATTACAGTCGATGGGTGCGGTGACTCACGTATTCCTGGGCAAAGTCAATGAGGTTCTGCAAGTCGATGTCATCACGATAGGCCTTGATATTGTTGTTGATGAAAAGGTTCAGCTGGTCTTTGATCCAGTCCTTGAAGACGAAGGCGAGGATCCCCGCAGCCAGCTCCAAGAAGAAGATCAAACCCAGGAACACGGAGAACTAGGCAGAGCCCGACACACACACAGGAAAAACAATACATACGTCACTTCAAACAAAAGCACAGAAACATCCAAAAAGACAGTTAACTTTGTTTCTGCTTGCGTTTTTAAAAGAATTAACAGGAAAACTTTGATGTAATGGCCTCCATTTAAAGTCTCGCTGTAGCGCCTGTCTTCATTTGACAAGTGAGAGTGTAGCAGCAACAAACCACAGTCCCTCAGGTACCGTTACATTATCTTTTTACAGTAAATGTGCAGGACCAGACTGATGATAAATGTGAAAAAACCACATTAGCTCCTCACGCTGACGCCTGACTTATTGCTGCTAATGGACATCTGCTGGAGTTAGTTGCTGTGCAGAACTGCAGCCAGCAATGAGGCGAATTTGTCTCCATCAGTCACATGTTATCAACACTGCCAAACCAAAACAAACCACATAAATAAGGATGCTGTAGGTTTAAAAAATATATATATTTTTTTTTTGGTAAAAAAAAAAAAAACTTGACAGAGAAAACTGGAGAGGAAAACGAGGATGTGTTTCTTATCGCTGCTCTTCAGCAAAACACGGTTTACTAAAACACGTAACCGCTCACAGCATTTGGTTTTGGTGCGTCAAAGTGACGCCTGTTGCACTAACAGCCTCAGCACTGGTGTGAACTGCACATCTGAGAGGGTGTCAAAGTGATTAAACCTGGTGCGTGCTTCAAAAGCTGGGAGGTAGCTCACAAACTTAAGCAGGAGAGTGTTCTCTCTGAGCGCTCCAATACAGCCGGCGAAGCCCAGGATGAACATCACCCCTCCCACGACGATGAAGAGCCACACGGGGTCGAAGCCTCCAAGATCTGTGATGGAGGACAGATTTGACAGCACGCCCTAAAAGAAAGAACAAACAAAAGTAATTAAAAATCACATCAAAGTATTATTAAAATCAGTAATACTTTGCTAAAATGACAGCAAACCTAATCAAGTTGTATGCCCATGTCCCCCGCCGCTGAGGGGTTTGAATACTGGTAGTTTGAATTCTTGTACAGTGTCCCCCTAGCATTTTCCAAGGAGGGTGCCCCGCTCTGTCAACAGAACCGACAAACTGGGGAATATATTTTACCGCCATTAAGTCAGCTGTTGCACTGTTTAGACGTACAGGGAAACTTTTTTGCAATGCCATTATTGTCCTGATGTTTTAGATATAGTGTATAACCTATTTGAAATAAGAGCTGTGAAAGTTTTCTCCCAACAATTTATTTTTAAGAGTCCAACTCTAGTAAATCCTCATCAAACTTGTGGCTTGATGACTCATCAAAGTGACTCCTCAGGAGGTGAAACGTAAAGATCCTTCAGAAAACATTTGCAGACAAAACGGTTTTCTTTCTGCATTTCTTGCCCTTCAGTACCAAAGCCAGAGAAATTCAACGCTTTTTATATTGAGTTGCTTCAAACACCTGAAATCTGTTTTGAAAAAAGCCGTAGTTCGAGCAGGTGTTGGTTTGACTCCTTCATGAGAATTCCTCCCAGATTTTACAAACAGATTATGGTATTCTGACTGCTGTCCACCACAGCCAACAATGTTAATATCTTCTGTGAACTTTAAACTTTTCCATTAATGAGAAAACAAGACAGTACACAACGTTCTTTTGGAAGGTAATCCACAGCTATAAACGAACATTTAGGACAAACTTTGCTCATTAAATGAAGAATAAAGATCCTTTTTAGTTCCTTGCAGGCAGGATGTAGCTGGTTGCCTGCTGTGTTTGTAGCGTGTGGTCTGGTTGTTACACACACTTGTGTAGGTATGCCTTTCCTTATGGGGAGGAAGTAATAATAAAAAGTCTGATTTTCCCCATTGCGTTGAACCTGACTTTAAAAACTGAGACATAAAGTCCAAACGGTCGAAACTGAACGTTTATGTTGAGTTGTGCCTTCACATCCAGTTTTGCGTGCGCCATAAATGATCACTATACATACATGTAAGTATCATTAAAGATGAGATCTTTCATTAATCTGAGTGAGAGCTACGTCAGATGATGTGGAGTTTGAACAACTTGTTTTTCTTCTTCTTTCAGCTGCTCCCTTCTTCAGGGGTCGCCACAGCAAAGTAACTCGCACAAAGACTTGGCAATAGTTTTTACGCAGGATGCCATTCCTGACACAACCACAAACCACCGAGCTACCACAGCCCTCTGTGTGGAGCAGAGAGCTGCCATCTATGGTGCCTAGGGGAGCGGATGGTGGGAGCTAAGGGCCTTGTTCAAGGGCCAAGAGTGGGGCAAATGAGGGTGGAGGCAGGTGTGAGTTTTTCATCTTTCCCACCCACATTTGGATATTGTTGGTCTGGGGAGTTGAACTGGCGACCTTCCAATTACAGGGTCATCTTTGCTAATCTCTGCGCCACCACTCCCCCTCACCTTCCCCACTACTTACAGACAGCAAAAACAGAAAAGAATGAATGAGAGAAGCTTTAACGGAAACTTGACGAAGGCGAGATGCGGTTTCTGTAAAATCATAGAATGAGACTAGCAACTTTACAGATACTGATCTAACGTTCATGTGGTAATGAGTCATTCACTGCGTACTCTGAGCCTTGTGCAAAATCATTTCCTAAAACTCTGACAGTAACAACTGGCATCAAACCCACTTGTCTGTGAGCTACAGGTTGATGTGGTAGTAGCTGAGACTCATAACAAACTCAAGAACCTAGTTTAAACTCTGGCATAAAAGCGGTCAGGCGATGCTCTGCAATTAGACCTATATTTCTTTTCTACACCTTTCAACGGTGGGAGGGAAGAACTGGGGTTATTTCCTATAAATGAGAGTACTAGTTTTCAGGAGTGATTTGTGACAAAAGGGTGGCAGCAAAGGTCAAAAGAAAAGTTTACATTACCGAGACCAGCTATGTTGTATGGTCTGGAGACAGTGGCACTGACAAAAAGACAGGAGACAGAACTGGAAGTGGCAGAAATCAAGATGTTGAGGTTCTCCTTATGAGTGACAAGGATGGATATGATTAAGAATGAGATCATCAGAGGTACAGCACAGGTTGAACAACTGGGAGATAAAGTTAGAGAAACCAGACTGAGATGGTTTGAACATGTCCAGAGGAGGGACAGTGGGTATACTGGTAGAAGGATGCTGGACATGCAGCTGTCAGGAAAAAGACACAGATGAGATATATGGATGCAGTTAGAGAGGACATGGAGGTAGTTGGAGTGAGGACAGAGGATGCAGAGGACAGAGTGAGATGGAGGATGACGACTTGCTGTGGCGACCCCCTGAAGATGGACCAGTCAAAATAAGTACCGGTAGTAGACTGTTTAACTTGCTACATACCGGTACTTTATAATCCATGGGTTAAACACTTCCATCTTAATACACAACATCTGAACTAACACAGCTAAAGTGAAACAGCAGTAGGATGCAAGGAATAATGTTTTATTTGTTTAATGTCAGCGGAGCAAACTAAACTGCCTTCATTTGATTTTGGTCATTAGGCCCTGAACAACAACGTGCTGCAAAGCATTGAGTTTAAAACTAATCAGTCACTCTCAGACCCAATCTCACCATTAGGGCCTTTCCAGCTACTGCTGTTCATCATTCACCCTAATCCCTATAAATTATTCACACTGTTCCACAAAGGTACTCCAGTGCAGGCCTATTTGCACACAGTTCATGACCAGACGTTACTAATCGGTACACGCTTCCACGCAGCATTTACAAAAACAACTGGAGGCTTTTTTTTTTTTTTTTTAATGAACAAATCAACTTTTAATTCAATTGGAATAAGTTTTAATGCTGTAGAAATTCACTGCACATGAGAGGTTAATGGCAAACTCTGACCTTGGTGGTCTTAATAATGTGTGTTAGAAAAAAAACATCTCCCTGTAAATAAAAAAGTCGTAAGTATTCCTGACTAACTCTTGTACAGCAAAAAGCATCCAGGCTCTGCTGACTGTGAGACAATCAACTTTAAAATTACTGATCACATTGGTGGTGCAGAGGCATGATTCATTTCCTGAGACAAAACGTATGACGTATGACAAACGTCAACAGATATCGTCGATTAGTAGAATAGTCCCGCTATATTTTACATCTAAACTCAACAGAAAATCCTATTTCCAGCTTCTTATGGTCAGAAATTTGGTGGAATTTTAGTTATGCTGAAGGAAATCATCCCCTCTTTTCTCAGTGTACATTTGTGTGCGTGTGTTTATACATACCTTCTCCGCCCATGCCCACAGGCCTATACTCAAGAATGCTGCTCCTAGCAACTGTAAAACAAAGAACACAGAGGAAGCTCTGCTGTGAGACAGAAAGATACGAGTTACACACTCCTCAAGTTTCCAAGCAATGAATCAAATCTGACTAAAGAGCATCAAAATGATGGACGAATGGACTTTCAGATGAAAGTGAAGACGGAAACATTTTCCGCTGATAATTTGCAGAAGTTTATCAAAACTTTCCCTTTATCACAGCTGTTCAGTTTGGTACATTTCAACGTGCCTTTTTATTTAGTTTTACTCCGAGTAGTGAAATCACATCCTAATGCAGCGTCACACTCCATTCAATTTTCTTTATGGAGAATAGATACAACAACAGAACTAAACCCAGTATTTTTCCAGAACTGATGCATAATCACAAGACCATACAAACCTGTACAGAGGAGTCCGTTTCAAAATGTTTTTAAATCTTTTAAAGAACAGTGACTTCCATTTTTCAAACCTCCACTGCTTTACAATGTAAAGACACCAAGAGAACACGTCTGTTTTACAATTTAACCTTTCTGAACCTTTCTGTGCTTTTCTGTAACATCTTGTAATAAGAACCTGACTAAGATGGACCGCGTAACACTTGAATATCACTGTCACCGCAGCTCAAGTCTGAACCTGCTGAACTTACATTAACAGACAGGTGCAGTCATGGTGGGTTAAATAAGACTTGGAAAAGAAGTTTAAAAAATTAGTAGAAACTAAATGATCAAACAATTAACAGCAGTGTTCAAACTTCTGCCCTCTGTGGTTTCATCTATGACAAAAAGCTGCAGGAACCAAGTGTTTTAGCTTATAAAGATAAGGTGGGTGATAAATGGTTTTTTTTTATGCCCATGTGTCTCTGAGCAAGACATCCAATCCCCAATTGCTCCCCGAGCGCTTACATAGCTGCCCACTGCTCCACATGGGTGCATCCCAGTTGCGATGGGTTAAATGCAGAGAGCCAATTTTGCCATTGCATGGGAACATACAATGATGACAACACATAGCACTTTACTTTACTTATGTAACTCTACAACTGATTCACTTTTGGAGCCAACGCAGTTGAAGATGGCCGCCACAGCCAACTGACCTTAGAAAGTAAAAAAAAAAAGATGCCATAACTTACTCAATTTTACAGCTTTGGTGATAAACTTTGGTGTGCTTGTAGCTGAGAGTCATCCACAATACAAGGACCAAGACACACTACACAAGATGTTTGCTAAAAACTTCAGCATTTTGGTGTCATTCCTGTCGGTCTGTAAGCAAAATTTTTCATGAACCACTGGATGGATTTTAAAGAAACTTTTAGAAACTAATAATTTGATTTAAAGCTGATAAATCTTTTGCAGCCAGTCTTATTCAACATGGCTACAACTCAGTTGAAAATACAGATACTGAGCTAAAGTTTGATGTGGTAGTAGCTGAGTCATTCACAACCTATAGCCTGGGAAAATCTTGCAAAATTGCATGAAATTGCACAAAACATTTTAAAGGTTTGATTAATTATTGTTTTTTTATTACAGTTTTTGTACTATTAGTGTTTAGTGTATTCTTAGTTCATATCTTAGATCTTATTACTGTTTTTCTTTACTATTTATACTTTTGTTGGATGTAACTAGGACCCTGTGTACACAATTTTGTTCATGTACCACTGATGGTGGAACAACAAATGAAACCTTAACTTTAAAACACCTATAACTCGTCATTTCTCATCACAAGATGATTTAAGTCTAAAACTCTGAAATGAAAGGTGGCGGGTGACATGCATTCCTTCAGAGCTAAGCTAAAATCTGTTTTCACTAATCTAACTATCATCGTCTAAATGGTGGGGGGCAAGATGATGTAGAGGTAGGGCAGCCGACCTGGGACCAAAAGTCGCAGGTTCAACTCCCCGTCATGCCCACATGTCCGTGATCAAGATACACAATCCCCAATTGCTCCCCGAGCACTTTAATAGCTGCCCACTGCTCCACCTGGGTGTATCTCAGGTGTGATGGGTTAAATGCAGAGAACTCATTTTGCCATTGTATGGGAACGCACAATGATGACAACACAAATAACTTATCTTTAATAATAATAATAATGTGTTATGTGTTGTGATCATTGTATGTTCCCATACAATAGCGAAATTGACTGCTCAGAGACACCATGAGATGTGCAATGACTGGGGATCGAGCCTGGGACTTTCGGGTCCCAAGTCGGCTGCCCTGCCTCTACCCCATCTCGGTCCCTTACTTAAACACTACAATGTTCTTGATAGCTTGATATATATGACGTATAAATCGAGGTTCAAGGTTCTTAATTGTCATTCCCATCACATGTGGTACATGAGGTGGAATGCAATTGTGTACTCAAGATCTCGGTTGCATCCAAAAATAGCAAAAATCTAAAAAGAAACAGTATACTAGGATCTAAGATCTACGCTAATATATACGCTAAACGAACGCTACACAATCTGAGATACGCTACACATTAATAATGTAAAATAATACGGTATATTAAACAGCAGTCCCAACATGAGTCTGTAGTGAGCAGATGGGTATGAATACAGCAGCATAAAGGCAAGAGATCAGCAGCATGGATAATCAGCAGCACAGATAAGTCACATATCGCCAATTAAAGTGGCATTACAGTGATTTATTTTTCCCTTAGCGATTATTTTGGTTAGGGATTTATGAATCTAACAGATTATACACACACACACACACACATATTGATATATTCGTTAAACCTGCCTATTTATTTTAACATTATAACCAAATGAACACGACGAAACCATGCTCACCGTTATGTTTTATGCAACTATTACAGGCTTCACACACCACCAGTGCACTGTTGTGGCAATATTACAAATTAAAATGAGAAACCTTTGAGGACTTCTCAGGTAAACTGATGGCCACCAACGGGACACAGGAAAAAAGTGAAATATGTTGAAAAATGTCAAACAACAGCCACAGTGAAGCTGAGCTGGACCGTGGTTACATAAGCAGCTGTAGTGAAGGGTGTTGTGGTGGTTTAGCAGGAAAGTGACATTCAGGAAGAGTTTGGATCAGCGAGTAGACACCAGGTAAAAGAGATTAGACCCACAGATCAGGAGCTTTACAGCATTTAACCTCGGACAACATGCGGATTAACAAACACTTACAACTTGTGACAAAGAAATAACTCTTACCATAAAACTTTAGTTACTCAACCCCATCTAAAGTTAGCTGTTCAGTATGAACTGAAACATGATGACAAACTTTTACAGTGTCTGAGTCTTATAATGACGTGAACACTTGTTTATATAATTAACTGGTTGTTGTCTCAACGGAGGAGATATAGGTTCAAACTTGCTGGTTGTCTTCAGTCTTTCCCTGTATTTATGTTCCTCCTGTGGGAACTCAACAAGCTGTATGGGAAGTACACTTCAGAAATGTAACTCAAGTTACATTTTGTTGAAAGAGGTTTTCATAAAAATGAGTGCAATGTTCTTCCATAAGTTCTTTGCCTATCTTTATAAGGTTTTCATAGAAAGGCAACGTAGCATATTTTCCAGGCAAACAAGCATCTATGAGATACTCTGAATAAATAATGTTCTTATTTCAGTGAGAATGACAAAGGTTTTTTTTTATTTATTATTTCAAACCCTTCTTCATATATAATTAGTATAATGTGTGAAGAGTGGAAAAGGTTTATAACTTTAGGCTACTTTGGAACTGTGTTAGTAGCAAGACTTCACTTAGCTTTAGTTTAAGTAAAATTAAATACCTAAACTCATGCTGGACTCCAGAATTAAAAATCCAGATGTTGACAGATTGTCAGTTTTTGTTTTTGGTCATGTGTTTAGTTTCTCTCCTATGAGAGGCTGAGGACTTTGACATAGTGCTAAGTATACATGTAGTATAAATGTGCCAAATATAAATACTGTAGACGTAAAAACATTAGCATAATACAATCTATACCAGAAGGTTAAAGTAGAGGTACAGTCAGGCTAGTTTAGACTATAAAATCTGCAACCAGGGAGCCATGTTGTTGTAAGAGCTGCAGAATGTGGTTTGACATGTTCTTACAAAAATACTGTTTTTAAAATAAATCTTGTTTAGACGGCTGCACATAACTGAAACCCACCCACACGTTTTAGCATTATTAACATGTTACTCATACACTGATGGCATGTGTATGTGTGTAGAGATAAAGGCCAAAAGAGACCAAAACATCATTAACATTGAAAAATTGATGAGGCTATCGAGAGGAGAATTTCTAGAAATGGTCAACATGAGTTTTAACGCTGCCCAATGCAAAATGCTAAACTGAGAACTGTCTCAGAGATTTGATGTTGTGTTTGTGGTAGTTTCACCAGGAAAAGCTACACTGACCTTTGACTACACCAAAATCATATTCATATTGTTCACATCAATATTTACATAGGAAACAGATCCAGCTCTGATTTCTGTGTTCAGCTTGTGCTTCTCTTTCTTGTAATGTTTACTGGTTTTAAACAAGAGCTCTCCAAAAAGTCTAAAGGTCGCTACATTTGTCCCCAGACGTAAACCGTCTGTTCTTGCTCACATGGTTGTGAGATGTTCTTCGCATTGACATTTCATTCTCAAAGAGAAACTGCAGAGCAGAACACCTGGAAAGCCACTGCAGCATGTCACGTGCAAACAAAAACACGGCAATAGCACGGTTGGCAGATGTAGGTGTTTTCAGTTGATTATGGAGGAGGAAAATTTGGAATTTTGGCTGTTAACCAAAGGCAAGCTCTAATTTGCAAGTTTGTTAAGAAGAGACTGCCACCTTTTCTGACAGACAGTGCAAAACCATGTCCCTGCACGGATTGTCCGAGGGTTACATCCTGCCAGCCAGCACAGCCACGAGTCGCCTGCGTCTCCACGCTTTCTCCTCCAAACTAGAATCGTGCAATGTTCATCCCTAAGTTCTTTGACTATCGTTATAAAATGTATTTGACCATCTTTTTTTTATTGTAACAGTTGTAAAGATGGTTGTATTTTCTAACAGCCTCAGCTATCTGCTCC